CCCTACCTGTGACCTGAAAGACCTTCCCTTTTATGGGTCGTTCAGAATAGCTGAGTTCTGGTCCCGAGAACTGAGATTTACACCAAAGGTGCGTAAATTCCCAGAGACCCTTGTTTCCAGGATTGTTATAATTCTTGGGCTTGAATGGGTGCTTTTCAGTGCCGAACAGGTGGTGCAAACTTGCACATGCATCAGTGCTTGGGCTCATGAGGGCCATGTAGGAGGGCTTCGGAAGCTGTGCAGACGGCCGGGGGCTCGGAGCACCATTTGTGTCTCTGCAGAGAGGGAAACCTGTGTGCACATGTTGATCAGATTGATTTTCATCATATGTTTTGGCAGTGATTTTGGGGCCCGAGACTTGTTTGGAAGCGGGCTTTTTGGCTGCAGCCATGCCGTCTTTGAAGGGTGTGGCCGAGAAGTGGGAAAACAACGCCACGGTGCGTTCCCGTGTGCGGTTGTTTGGCACAGCCTTGTCGGAGTCATCGGGCGGTGGGCTGCCGCATGCAAATGTCAAGCAGTGTGCAAAGTTTCGTGATGTCGTGGCACCCTTGGTGACAGCTGTTGTAGCATCGCCTGTTGCCCCGGGAAAGTTGGGAATCTTCACAGTTCACCAAGCGGAGTGTGAGTGACCAGCATCAAATTAATTAGTTTGGTGCCAGATGTTTGTTATCAGTTCGTCTGTTGGTGGAGCAATTCGCAAATCTCTGTGTGGTCTCTTGATTTCGATCGGGTCCAAGGCTCACGAAGCTCTACCGCACATTGAAGGCGCATGTGGATGTGAAGCAGGTCAAGGCCGAAGCTTGGCTCTGCAAGAAGTTCGTCGTCCTCCTCAAGAGGAAGAAGCAGCGGCGGCAAGTGCCACGCTGCGGCGACTTCCGTCACCTCCTCAGCCTCCTCGACGGAGAGGACCATTGGCCATGGGTGCACTTCTGGATTGCTCGGAGCATTCATTCCTTGTGTAAGTTCCGGACTAGCTTGGTGTGTTAATTGAGTTGAGAAAGGATCCCGATGAGGATGGTGGTGTTGGTGGAGAGGACCCCGGCTAAACAGTTGAGTGGAAGGTAGCTTCAAATTGTGGTTGTCATTGGTTCCTGTTGGAAAGGAGACCGATGACAATGGTGATGGTTCCGAGGGCCCTGGCCATGTGCTTGAGTCGGGAGGTGGGACAACATGAATTTGTGCGTGCTGGTTCATGTGATCGTTTTGTGGGTTCCGGCAGGCTCGGTGGATGAAGATGCATCCTTGCATGACAGCGATGTGGAGCTGTTGTCCGGAGAAGATGATGCTGCTGACTGCCAGGCGGTGGCAGACATGAGGCTGGAAGATGATCATGCTGCCGTGGTCATTGATGATGACCCTCCCCAAGATGTGGCCATGGTGGATGCAAGTGCGCCAGCAGAGCCTTCAGGGCAGTCTTCAAAGCCAGCTCATTCAGAGCCAAGTCAGTCTTCAGAGCCATCTCATTCAGAGCCGAGTCAGTCTTCAGAGCCATCTCATTCAGAGCCAAGTCAGTCTTCAGAGCCATCTCAGGCTTCTGCTCCGGTGCTGAGGCGTTCAGGTGCTGTTATGAAAGGGCACACGTTCGAGGGTCCAGTCGTGGATGTGGAAGCACTGGATGTGGTATCATGTGCTCAGTGTGGCCGAAAGCAATCAAAGTGCAAGTGTCTCCTGGTGAAGCAGCTGCAGCAAAGCATTGCCACAATGAAGAGCCATCAGGCTGCTAGGGAGAGGATACCGGGTTTCAAACTCTCTGCTTGCACTACGTAAGCATGTCTTTACCTCGTCTACATGAAATAGTTTCTGTGTGTGTGTATATGTATTCTTGGTACTGTGGGTCTTTGTGTAGATGATGTGTGGGAATGTATATGATGGTGTTGCTTCCTGCAGGAGCCGGGTCGCAAAGGTTTCCAAAGCGGTAGCATCCAAGGCCGATGGGCAGGCCGAAGCTTCAACGACCTCAGGCTTGTTGGGGGAGGTTTCGATTGATTAAGTTGTGTTTGGTTTTGTTAACCGTGGTTGTACAAGGCAATTGTTGGCGATTTTATGTGTAGAACTCTGAAGCAGGTGGGGTGTCGCTTTCAGTGGTCCCGCCATTGGTCAAAGCTGCTGGTGATAACGACGAGACCCAGCCCCTGGACGCAGAGGTCTCGGTTGAAGTGGCCAAGGACTGGATGTCAGCCGCTGAACTCTTGAATGAGAAGGGATGGGAGCCAGATATGAATGAGTTTGCTCCTTTGACTTCTGATTATGTGTTTTGTTGGAGTTGCTTCGTCAGATGCAAGCTGAACTGGGTTTGCACATGTCATTGATCATCAGGTTACTCGACGCCAGCAGCTTGCGGCGGTTCAGGTGGCCACGACTGTCGAAGAGACGGAAGGCCAGCCGAAGGCCAAGGCCAAGGGGAAGGCCAAGATGAAGCGTCCCGCAGCGGCTGCAAAGGCTTCGGCAAAGAAGCGGAAGGGCTCTGCCGAGCTTGCCACCATTGCTGATGGCCCGCCCGAGCGTCCTCAGGCTGCGCTTTCCGAGCTCGGTGTGCCTTTGAACAATCGTGGCGAGGATGAAAAGGCCAATGATTCTGCCGAGCCTGTGGATATGGAGGCCGAGAAGGACAAGGCTGGCTCAGGCTCAGGTGCGAAGCCGAACCCGAAGGCGAAAGCCAAAGGCAAGGCGAAGGCCAAGGCCAAGGGCAAGGTGAAGCCTTGCGAGTCAGAGGCATCGGATGGGGATGTCTCGGATGACAATCGCACGGTGCACTTCGATGAGAATCCACTCCATGCGGCTTTCTACAAAGGGCCAGAAGATGTGCCAAGGCCACCATCTTCGCCAGAGCATTCGGAGCCGGAGTCAGCCGCAGAGGCTGGTGGTGACGGTGTGCCGAAGGCAAAAGGACGGGGACGAGGACGTGGCAAAGGCAAAGGCCGTGGACGTGGCCCGGTGGCCAATGGTTCAGATGGTGCGCCTCCCGAATTGCCTCGCCGGGGCCGTGGCAGGGGCCGTGGCAAGGCGTTCTGTGCCAAAGGCCGAGTTCCGCATGAGGGCGATGAGGATGAGTCCCAAAAAACTTTTGCGCGAAGGCGAATGCCCAGTGCAACGATGAACAAGAACAGGTTCTTGGCCATTCGTGATGCTTTCGACACCATCATTCGGAACAACGTGCCAAAGTTCCCTTCGAAGCAGGAGGACCTCTCTAGCAGCCTCGCCAAGCTGTCATCATTGAACTGAGTATTATGGTCACCGGTTCGCTTGTGTTGTTCACATGTCTACAAATCAGCTGATTGTTCTGGAGTGGTGGCTTTCTCTCTGTTCGGGGAACACAGTTAATTATGTATTACTGCAACGCAACTGTAGGTGTCATCACTCAATTAAGTGCTACCCAACTCTTGAAACATGCAATGACCTCCCCTCAATTTGCTTAGTACATAAATCGTTATATACTTACCCAACCATTGCTTGCCCAACCATTGCACCCCAACCTCGCAGGACCCTTTCTGGACCTTTTGCATGGCTGCGTGGAATGACACGGCTGTGGATGCGGGAACTGATTTTAATCCTCTCGCTCGTGCGGCTGCCAAGAAGTTTTTGCATAAGGAGCTGAAGATCAGAGCTGATGTAAATGTGTGACTGCATCAAGATGCAGTCGTGACTCCAAGTGGAGCACGGCAAGGGCTTCGATTGGGTGTTCAGGCCTGAACTTGGTGAGTTGATAGCTCATGTGCCTCGTGCTCCATAAGTTAAGCAAGGTGTGTTGTTTGTTTGTTTGCTTCCTTCTGTGTTCGTGTGTTTGTTTTTT